CACCATGGGCATGCGCCACCATGTGTTCCACTTTTGTCTTCTTTCCTTGTGTTTTTGAAATAGGAGCACTGGTCATGACCCTGGTGACAGGGACCAATCTCCCGTTCCTACGTGCAGGCAGTGAGCCAGGTAGGATTGGGGGCTCCACCCTCAGGGCCTGGAGGGCTGTGCTCCTCACGACTTCGCCTCTCTTATCCACATCTCGACCTGTCCGACTGTAACCCTCCATGCTAGGAAGAGAAGCACCCCAGAGCTCAGGGTTGCCCTCCTAAAGAGTTTCCAGGACCAGCTAATGGTACATGGCTGTAATCCCAGCCTTCAGGAGGCTGAGGCAGGAGGAGCCCTGTGAGCTCAGGGTTAGTTTGGGCAGCATAATGAAACCCTGTCTCCAAGCAGAGGATTCCACTATGGAAGGCCGTTGTGGTGAACGAGGCCCTCAGGAGACCAGAACGCAGCAGGGTAGCACCACCTGTGGGCGCCACGTCACCCGGTGGGACCTCGGGACGCAGGAGTGTCCCACCGGGCCGTGCGCTGAGGCCCTCCGCCAGGACAGTGGTTTTGCCCCTCAGAATGGCCCTTGGTGGCTGCTGCCCCTCCCAGCTGCCTGCCCGTATCCTGCGGAGGGTAAGAAGGGGGCATTGCGCTCTTCTCCAGGCTCCGAGCTGTTGTCTTAAATCTGGTGTGAGCAGAGGGGATCCTGCCCAGGAAGCGCCACCCTCCCCTGACCGCTGGCACAAACCTCCCCACCTCCGCCGAGGCAGGAAGCTCCTCTCCGGGGGCAGGCTGGCTTCTGCACTCTGAGGGGGAACAGGGACCCCCCAAGAAGCGAGCTGGAGAGCCCCTGGGTGTCTTACCACTCCTACCGCTCCCTCGCTGGGTTAAACTGATGTGCTTTGTTTTGTATGTTTCAGAAAGGGCCTTGCTATGGAGCCCAGGCTGGCCTGGAAGTCACGGTGATCCTCCTGCCTCGGCCTTCTGAGCGCTGAGATGGCAGGCATGTGCCACTATGCCTGGCAAACCCAAGCGTTTTAACAAGCCAGGTGGCAAGGCTGGCAAGATAGCTCAGTGGACTGAGCACCTGCTTAGGCAAGCACAGGGACCGGGCGGATGAGAACAGGAGGATCACTATGAGTCTGAGCTGTATGGTGAGACCTTGTACCAAAAAAGATTAAAAAAAAAGAGTTACAATGGTTT